TTTGATGTAACTAACCTTTTACCCTTTATGTGGATGAGCATAAGGGGGTCTCCTGGGGAGTTTTAACCAAATCCCTAGGGCCTTGGAACAGACCAGTTGCTTATCTGTCAAAGAAGCTTGATCCTGTAGCAAGGGGAGGGCCTGTCTATCAAAAAGATATCACTGCTGACAAGTTGACTTTGGGGCATAAAGCAACATTAATAGCCCCCCATGCATTGGAGAGCATTGTCTGGCAGCCGCCAACTGATGATGACCAATGCCCGTGTGACCCACCACCAAAGCCTGCTTCTCACTGAGAGACTGAGTGGATTGTGTTCGCTCCACCAGCTAGCCTCATCCCACCACTCTTCTGTCTGTGGAGACTGGTGAACTGGGGATTCATGACTGCCATCAACTGTTGGTTAAAGAGACTGGAGTTTGCAAAGATCTTAATGACATCCTGCTGGCTGGGGAGATGTTGACCAGTTCACTGCCATAAAAGGTAAAGAAAGGACTGGGGCAGTGGTACTGCTAGACGAAGAGAAGTCCATAAACATTAACAGGCAACAGTTATGCTTTTTCAACTGTTCATGTGCATGGGACTGTCTCAACTGTTTGGCTAAAAAAAATTACTGAAGAAAATTTTCCGAAGATTCAAAATACCTAAGGTAGTAAAATCAGACAATGGTACAGGTTTTGTGACCCAGGTAAGTCAGTCACTGGCCAAGATACTGGGGATTGATTAAAATTACATTGTGCATACAAACCCAAAAATTCACGTAGAAAGTATAAATAAAACCATTGAGGAGACCTTCACTAAATTGACCGTGGAGACTGGTGTTAATGATCAGATAGCTCTCCTACCCTTTGTGCTTTTCAGGTTTAAAAACACCCCTGGACCATTTGGGCTGAGCCCCTGTAAATGGCTCATTGGGGGGCTCCCTCTACTGGTGGAAATTACCTCTGTACATAGTGCTGATGTGCTGTTTTCTTAAGCCTCTGTTTGCTAGGCTTAAGGTGCTCGAGTGGGTGAGACAGTGAACAAGGAAGCAGCTCTGAGAGACCTACGTGGTGGGAGACTTGGAAGTTTCACATCACTTCCAAGTTGGAGATTGAGATTTCATTAGATGTCACTGCACAGAAAACTTGAGACTTGGAGGGTGGAAATAAGGGAGAGGGAACTGGGATCGACATGTATAATAATAAATTACAAAAAAACTATGCTCTGACTCAAATATTTATGTTCAAGGACAAGTTACTGGGGAAAAGGATTTCAATATTTTTTTTCCCACAGAAAACGAAAAGCTGTAGATTTCTTCCATATTAATGTGGTTTGATCAAGCCAGACCGCCTGAAACAGAATACCAAGTGAGCCTACACTCAAAACAGCTGGACAAAGCAGCCTTACAGACTACAGCCAGGATTTCAGCATCTTCTTAGAATCCCCCATGAGAGCACCCCTTACAAGCAGGAAGTAGCTTGGAAAGAACGATGCCCAAATTCCCAAATATTGTCTATAAATGTTTGTTTTCATTTAAATGAACTTGGTTATAAAAAATAAATAATAAAAAAGATGGAAAAATACTGTTAAAAGTTTATGATTATCCTCTAAAATTAGTAAAGCAATGCAAGAGTTCTTATCAATGCTGTTAACAGTTTACCGATCAGAGATAATGACTTTTCTCTAAACTCAGTAAACCAAATCTCTAGTACACTGACCACAGGCAGGTGAAAATAAGTGTTTTTTTTTTTATCTCATGCTTCAAAGGAATTACTGGCATTTTATAATATGTCTGTAAATTGTGACCAAAGATCTGTTCCTTGTAATTTCTGTATAAAAAACCCAATACTCTAAAGTAAAAATGGTAGCAGTTGCAAACCGCCTCCAGTGTGTTTGTTTCTGTCAAGATGAAGCCACTCCTGACATGGTCATCGAGTTTGGTACCCATGGGGGCACATCACCCACTGAGCAGTCTGCAGCATGAGGTGTTATTGGCCGGGTTGTACAGGAACATCCAACTGTCAGGAAATAAAAGCAGGTACCAGATCAAATATGATAATTTTCTTTCTCTCATCAGAAAGCTTGATCATTGCTGTATAACTGTAGGAGTTTTATTCCTGAACCTCAGAAAAACCACTTAACAAACACAAAATTATAAAAAGAGTATTCTTCATGGAAAGTTGAAAATTTAGAGAGGAATGGAGCTAGGAAGATTTTCGTGTATGACCACTACTGTTAGCCAGCACATCTTACTCAGTGAGCAGTTTTAAACAATCTGCATTATTCAAGAATTCAAGCTTTGTAAGACCCTCAGAATGAGGAGTCTCCCAGTTTCCATCAGTATCCCCAAGAACTCAATGTCCAGTCCAGTTGCTTCAACATGCAAGAGGCTTTAATGAACAGGAAACATTTGTGCAAAGGGGCCCCTCCAGCAGGCAGACTAGTGAGAAGAAGCCATCTCCTCCCTCCACCCCGCCACACGGCACAGGTGTTTTTAAAGGCAAATACCCCAAGCTTAGGGAGGGGGTGGGACCCTCTGTCCATTGAGTACATGACCCTTTGAGGCTGGTCTCCCTATTAGGGTCAACAGACCTTAGGGCCTCAGGGTGTGCTAATTAATCTTGTCTGGGCAAACCGGAGGTGCAGTTATCTATTTGTTTCTTAAAGACCCCATTCACCACCTGCTGACTCACAAGAAAGGAGGGACAGTCTGAATTCTGGGTATCTTGTTTTCTCAGGGCCTTGTGAGGGGAAGTTAGCAGATTCCAAGGAACAGATATTGCTAGGGGTTAACTTTCCAGGTTAGTATGTCCTTCATTTAAAGTGGGGCATTTCTCTAACTTTACTTTTTTGTCTTTCACGCCCTATATCTTATCTCTAGAGAGTAAAGTTCTAGTACTCTGATCTACAAAGCACCCCACCCAGAACCCGCACTTTCCCCACCCTGTGTCCTACTGCGCCCACTGCTCCACTGGTCTGGTTGAGCACTGGGACTGAGAGCGGGTCAAATAAACAAAACACCTCCACCTCCGGAAAATTTCTTGGACCTGCTTTGAAAATACTGGACCCCTCTATCCCGCTGGAGCAACCAGTGTGCCCGCCTGCCTGATGTTTATCCGTCATTACTGAGGCTCTGCCGGGGAGAGACCTCCTAGAGTGACTGGAACAGACAGAGTTACAGACATTGAGCACCTCTCACAACTCTGTCCCCAGGAACTCCTTCTGCAAACACACGGTTCCGGGACTGTCCCCTGCACAAGCAGCTGCGCTCACAAGCGGCTGCGATCTCAGGACTTCCGACTTCCGGTCACGAACTAAAGCTTCCGGTTCGTGGCTGTCAGTGTCCCCGGAAGACACACATGGAAAACATGCTTCTAGTTCCACCCGGCCAAACTGACACACGATTTCCGCTTGTGAACCAAGGACGTCAGGCTTCCAGTCACTGACTTGAGCTTCCGCCTGTCACACAAAATGGTCCCCAGGAAAGGTTGCAACGAAGAGATGCACAACTTGAGTTCCACCCATGAAGTAAACAGGACGGAGTGCGCTGCGGCCTGAGTTCCGCTTCCGGCACATTACTTCCGCTTACGGATGGTGCAACATGCGATTCCCTGCCCACCGGGCGGCGATTAAATCGGATCCGCTTTCGGCCCAGGAAGGGAATTGATCGCATCGGACATTGCGGGGCCGATAGGAAACGCCTTAAGGGACGGGACTAACAGGTCCAAGTGAACAGGTCAGAAACGGCTGATTCTGACCGCAAAAGAGGCAGCACAGAGCATATTCCCTGTCACTCATCGAGGCGGTAGGTGGGACTTCCGGGTGCGGCGAACAGGGCAGAAACAGAGATCGCAACCCTAGGTTTCCGTGCACCCCTCTGGTTTTCGCTGTTTCCCCTGTTTATGCCACGGTTGGCAGCAGGGTTCCTGTTGCCGGGGGAAACCGTGTTGGGACTTCCGGCAACATGGTAAATCGGGGCGGGACTTCTGCATGGGAGCATTGACCAGGAATTAATGACTTAGAGAGGTTCCCAGGGGATGGGCGGTGTCACGGGAGCCGTGATGTCAGAGGAGTTACAGGCGTGGCCTGTAGGGCACACAGCTGTCAATCAAACACCTGTCATTCAGTCATTCATTCACTCATTCATTCAGTCATTCACTCAGCCACTCATTCATTCAATCACTCATTCATTTAGTCATTCATTCATTTATTCAGTCATTAATTCATTTACTCAGTCATTCACTCATTCATTCAGTCATTAATTCAATCATTCATTCATGTAGTCATTCATTCATTGATTCAGTCATTAATTAGTTCATTCAGTCATTCATTCACTCATTCAGTCAAAGGTCAGTCATTCATGAAGTAATTCAGTCATTTCAGTCATTCATTCATTAGCTCATTCATTCATTCATACATTCATTCATTTACTCATCCATTCAGTCATTAACTCATTAATTCATTGTACAATCATTCATTCATTCAATCACTTCCTGTGTGTGCTGGATGCGGGACTTGCGGTCCCTGAGGCTAAGGCTCTGACATAGACAGGCAGTAGGCAGGATTTCCTGTTTCCTTTTACCTACACTGTAGCCCATGGTCATCTTGAACCCCGCCGTCTTTTTGTACACCCAGGGGCAGGAAATAAGTCCCATCATCTCAGAGGAACCGGAATTGGTTGTCTCAAGCCGGAAGTGGACAATTTCTGGTCCCTCCCAGAACGGAAGTGAACCCCCCAGACCGGAAATGTGCGATCCTTTCAACATGGAGCTGGTTCCACTCACCAGGCTGCTGCAGGGGAAGTGGGTGGTGCTGGCGGTCCCAGGAGGCGGGACATCCTGTCCTCCATGGTGACTTCCAGGGGCAGGGCCTGCTCTGGGATTGTCAGCTGTGACTTTCAGGGGTGGGGCCTGCTGTGACTGACAGCACACCACCACCCCCCAGGGACTGCAGTTCGAAGTCGTACCCTCCCACTTCCAGCAGGCCCTGGAGAAGGCTGGGTTTCAGGCTCCGCCCGAATATGCCCTGGGAGACAGCAAAGCTGAAGGCTCTGTAGGTGGAGTCGTGGCTGCACAGGGTGAGGACGGCCCCATCCTTTCTGGTCAGGTGGTAGGCCCCACCCCTTCCTTTCGAGGCCCCGCCCACAAGCCTGCACCGCCCTCTGCTCTGCAGGACCTGCACACTCCTGATGTCATTATTGGAGCTGACACCCACTCCTTCTGGCCCTGCCCGCCCTGCCCCTCACTGACCCGGCCCCTTGGCGTCTGGCTCCGCCCACTGCAGGCCGTGGATGGCGTCATCCTGGAGAAGCCAAAGGACAAGGATGATGCCTACAGGATGCTGCGCAGGTGGGCGGGGCCTGAAGGGGCGAGGCAGACACACCCAGGGCAGAGTGGGCGGGGCCTCTGCATGGAGCTCGAGCCTCTGTCCACCACAGCCCCGCCCCTTGCCAACCACGCCCTGTCCCGCCTTCCCTGGCCCCGCCCAGGCTGAGTGGCCAGCAGCACAGTGTCATCACCAGTGTGGCCATCTTGAGGCCACTGTGGCGGAGGCAGCTTCAGGAGCCAAGTTCCACATGCCCAGAGGTCCCAGAGGCGGAAGGGGACCTAGAAGCAGAAGTGGAATTGTCACTGTTCCACGAAGAGACCCGTGTGACATTCTTGCGGCTATCAGAACCACTGCTGTGCGAATATGTGGAGAGCGGGGAGCCTCTGTGAGTGGGTGCGGGGTGGGGTGGGTGGGGCCAGGAAACCTGGAAGTGAGGCCTGAAAAGGAAGAGCTGTCCCCGGTGGGCGTGGGTGTGGCTGAGCATGGCACCTGGTGTGACCTCGTCCCTGCCTTGCACCCAGGGACAAGGCTGGCGCCTACGGGCTTCAGGGCGCGGCGGTGCCCTAGCAGAGCGCGTGGAAGGGGATTTCTTCAATGCTGTGGGGTTTCCACTCAACCGCTGCATGCGTGAGCTGGCTGCCATCTTCCCGGATGTGGGACCACACGTCCCTGTCAGCCAGCGTCCGGCCACACCCCAATAATGAGGATTGTAGATGGAGAGTGAGTATGTGAGTGACTGTCCGGGGCGGGAATTCTGGTGAGAGAGTGACTGAAGGGGCGGGACTTCTGGTGAGTTTGTGAAGCAGTGACCCATTTCCCATGATGCCCTTGGTGCATTGTGTTTGATTGACAGAGCAAGCTTCCCTCGAGTGCATCACTTCCCAGTTCTAGGGCACAGGACATGGGGTGAGGTGTGTGGAGGCAGGGTTAGGGGACAGGCCCACCAAGGGGAGTACACCTAAACTGCCCCTGTGGCCCCGCCCCTCCTGATGCCCCACCCTCACCATCTCCATGGGCCCTGCCCTTGCCCCCACTGGATCCTGCATGAGCAGCTTCACCATCAGATGCCTGTGATGGACATTTGATATCAGGAGCAGGGTCAGGGGAGGCCCCCACCCCCTGCCCGCACTCTGATTTGCATATTCAAGAGGTGCCTGGAGACTCAGAAGACATCAAGTACAGAAACTGCTGGGGTTAATTTGCATGGCCACACCTCCAAATGACCTAACCTGCATGTATTTGCAGGTCAAAGTCCCAAACAGATGGGAATACTTGCAATCATTTGCATAGCAAAAGCATGCAAAGCAGCATAAATTTGTATATCCGAAACTGGGGTTTGCTCATTTACATACTCAAATGTGAAGCCCCAATCAGACTTCCAGATTTTCAGGCATTGTGCTTATTTGCATAATCAAAATTACTAGTGCATTCTTTATGTAACAGTTTAGTAGCCTCATTTGCATATTTAAATGAGTGGCAGGTTTTTACTGCTAAGCATCAGGCCCCACCCCTTCAGCACTACCCTAGCTCACCTGTCCCCCACCACGAGGTCACAGTGTCCAAGGTCACAATCAGTGACCCTCTCCAGGCCCTGCCCTCAGCCACACCAGGCCCTTCCCCACTTTCTCTCTTAGGGTCCCCGAGGGCAGGGCCGGGGTCTGGGTATTACCTATGGTGCAGACAGGACTTGGTCCAGGCAGTGACATCACAGGAAATTGTGACTGTGAGCAGGAAGTGCCCTCCTTCCCTACCCTCACCATCTCCACCCCCAGCTGGGCATGGCAGGAGTCTCCTACCAAACTCTTAGGCTACCAAGCAGCAATGCTAGGACCAGAGGGCGGTGGCCATGGTGAGCAGGTTATAAGAGTAAAAACCCTGAGGATACTGAGTGTGGCCCCTGTGACATCACAGAACTCACCCCTCCAGGCCCTTGTGATGTCAGTCATCGCAGGCCCTGCCCTTCCAGCTGTCAATCACTACAGACCCCACCTCCTGCCTCTGGGCCATGAGGTCGGCTGAGGGTGTGATCTACAGGCTGACTGGGTTGGGCCATGTCAGCTATCTTCATAACGTTAGAGGGGCAGGCTGCAAGCCAAGGGCGGGACTTCCTGGCAAGGGAAACCTGGCAGTAGAGACTCAGGTCAATCATCAAGGGTGGGGCATGACATCTGCTTCCAGATCGCAGCCAAGGCTGACCTGAGCCAAGGCCATCAGGAACTTTTGTTACTGCTGTGGCTGGGACTGCATTTCCCAGCATCCTATGCGGCCGCGTACTGCTTCCCTGCCCAGAGACTTCTGGGTCTGGATGTTCATATCCAGGACTGCATTTCCTAGCATCCTGTGCAGTCGATTCCTGCCTTTATGCCCAGGGACTTCCGGTTTTCATCTGTACTGGCCAGGGACTGTAGTTCCCAACATGCTCTGCGGTGGCTTTCTGTTTTGCAGCAAAGAAACATCCAGTTTGTAGTCTTTGTAGGCCCAGGACTCCATTTCCCAGCATCCTCTGTGGCCACTTCCTGCTTCCCTGCCCAGGGACTTCTTATTTTCATCTTTGGCAGCCAAGGACTATATTTCCCAGCATGATTTGTGTCCGCGTTTCTATGAATGGACTTCCGGTTAAAAACTTTGGGGTCCAGAACTTCACTTCCCAGCATGCTGTGTGGCTGCTTCTTTCTTTTCTCCCCTTGACATTCTCTTCTGGACTTCAAGGCATGTGCTGGGCTTGTTTCGATCTTTTCAGTTCCTAAACATCTTCTGGTCTCTGAGGCTCCAGGACTCCATTTCCCAGCTTCCTGTGGTGCCGCTTCCTGTTTTTCAGTCCTGAAACTTCCACCATTTAAAGGCACATAATAATTTAGAAATATTTGAGACTTAGAACAGATGAATTTCAGTTGTATGAAGTTAGCTTACATTTACATAAAGTTAAGTTGAAATCCAATGTACAGATATATTATTCAGGACTGGGTAAATTGAGAAGGACCAGTGTGTGAAGCTATGTATAACATAGTCAGAGAAAAAAGATATTACAGACAAAGAATAAAAGGCAAACGGTAAATGACTTCCAGGTTCTGTTGGCGGCAGAAGCTGGCTAGACTCTTTCTGCCTAGATGGCTGATGTAGCAGAAAGAAGAACCATGGTGGGTAAAGCTAGGCCACATGGTCAAGATGGTGACTGCCATAAACATATTCCCAACAGCTGAAAGAAATAGTAAAGTTTTGAGATATAATTTTGTCTTGAGCAGATGCTGCCTCAGCCCAGCCCACCATGCTGAGACAGGTTGCAGCTGGGGCAGGCAGGAGAATTTGAGCATGCCGGGAAGAGAACCGAAACAAGTTTATGGAAAGAGATTGTTCAGCAGATATATATATATATATATATATATATATATATATATATATATATAACTCCTTCCATCTATCTGTTCCCTGGCAGTAATTTGAAAGATCCCATAAAATATTGGGATCTAGAGAGCTGTTACATGGCCAATTTAAATTTTTTTGTAGGGGATATCTAGGCTACTTTTCAGTACAAAGGTAAATAAGTCTGGGTGACTTTACAAGTGGCATTAAGTGAAAGGGTTTTAAATTTTCTATCAGGCATCCCAGTGGAGTGGTGGGGGATATTTCCTTGGTCGGTTTATTCCCCATGGGTGGAGTGAAAGTGACCATGCAGTCTTGGAACTCATCAGCCCAAGAGTGTGGCCACACAATAAGCGAGAATGGCAGAGCGTTATTCAAAAACATTGCCAGGATCAACAGAGGCAGGAAAGACTCAGCAGTCTGAGAGCAGAGCCGATATACCACACTGGGCAGTATGTCTTCCACCCATGGAATGTACCTGACCTTAAGGAATTGGGTTAAAATGTAAAAGGGTACCTAACCTAATTGAAGCCTGTGTGGGGTGGTATTTCCAGTGAATGGGGGGGTGGTGGTGGAACGCTGGTATCAGAAACAAGATCCTGAGTGTTTCTGGCTGGAGGCCCAACACCAAACAGCTGCCAGTGACCCTCAAGGAGAGCCTGCCTGGGTTTCAGCAACAATGTTGTTCTTTTGCTATGCAGCTAATGCCTAAAAACCACAAACACGAGACTCAGCACCCATGTGGAGTTTGTTGAGAGAAGGGAGACAAACAGGGGTAGCTGTTGGCCAACTGAAAGCAGGAGAGAGATAGAGAGGGGTGTGGCGTACTTGCTTTAAAAGGGGAGGCTTGCACATGTGTAACTGAGTCCTGTGGCAGCCAGGTAAAGCTTGAGCTCTCATGAAAAGCTGACTTAGCGATGCCATGGCCATGAGGGCATGCCCATCATCAGGTTGGGGGGGGTGTCAAATGGCTGCTAGTTCCTAACAATCAGATTACTAAGCGGAGTCACTATTTAGCAACACATGTAGTTAAGTGTAAGTCACTAGTTAGCCACAAACTAACCCATTAGTTAGCCACACATACTAGCTCACTAGTACCCACACACCCCATGCCACATGTTAGCCACATACTTAACTCACTATTTAGCCACACAATGAAGTCACTAGTTAGACAAATACCTAAATCAATAGTCAGTCCTATACCTATGTCACTAGTTAGCCACAAAAACTAAGCCATAAGTCCATCACACAAATAAAGCAGTACTTAGCCACACACACTAAGAGAGTATTTAATCACACACCTAAGTTACTATTTAGCTACATGCCTAAGCAGTAATTAACCACATTGACAAAGTCACTAGTTAGCAACAAAGCTAGGTTACTAGTTAGCCACAGTTACTATGTCTCTAGTTAGCTACACACAATATATCACTACTTACCCAACCATTCTAAGTGACTAGTCAGCCACACATCTAATTTACTAGCTAGTCACAAACACCAAGAAAATAGTCAGCCACACACACACACACACACACACACACACACACACACACTGAGATAGTAGTTAGCCATTCACCTATGTATTTCTATGTATTTAGTCAACTACACAACTAAGTCACTAGTTAGCTACCAACACTAGGTCACTAGTTATCCACACACATTAAATCAGTAGTTAGACACACACACTTTGTCACTAGTTAGACACATACTAAGTCTGTCTAAAAGAAAAACAGCTTACACTAAGGTTGTCCCAGGATATGGGAATCAGGCCTTTAATCCCAGCAGCAGGGATTTGGAGATGGGAGTGACATGGCTGGACAGAGAGAGGAAGATATGGTAGAGGAGCGAGAAGAGCATGCAGTGAGATGATTTTGATTGAGAAGTTAGTCTGAGGGATCGAAGCAATAGCAATCAATCTGAGGAGACAGTGTGAGGACAGAAACACATCGCTTGTCTGAGAATAGGTAGAGATAACAACTCTAGTAGCCAGATGCTCTGAATCTGTGATCCTTCAGTTTTCACCTTCCCCTCCCTGTTAGATTACTGTGAGTTTTTATTATTAAGATCTATTAGAACTTGTGCTGGAAGTGATGTTCTCTGTGGATGTGTGATATTTCAAAGTCAATAGAGGTAAAAATTTTAAATTATTAAAGTATGTTAACTTTGTTTTTTGAAAATTACATTGGTATCTTTTTAATGTTTTTAAT